TTTGTTTATTCACGCAGACTCTGGCCTCAGGGCTTGGGAATGCTGACCACTTGTGCAGGTGGCAGGATAGGGCCAGAGGGCTCCCACAGGTCTTGGTCCCCTCACTCCAGGAAATGAGGGAATGGCTAGAAAGAAGGGAACTGCAGCCTAGAAGCCTCTTTGGTGTCAGACGTGAGTCTGGAGGGCTGGGTTCTGTTGCCCTGTCTACCGTCATCCCAGCACAGGGTGGGCTGGGCACACAGAAGTTGCCCAAGTTAATATATTTGAAGTGGCAACAAGCAGCCTAAGGAAGAGGTCCACTAACTGCAGGAAGAGGGGCAGGTAATTAGTTCACATAAATGAGGGGCAGGATGGGAGATGGCCTGCAATCAATAATATATGAACCTAGAGACTGTCATACAGAGTGAAGTAAGTCAGAAAGAGAAAAACAAATAGCGTATATGAACGCATATATGTGGAATCTAGAAAAATGGTATAGATGATCTTATTTGTAAAGCAGAAATAGAGACACAGATGTAGAGAATAAACATATGGATACCAAGGAGGAAGCGGGTCGTGGGATGAACTGGGAGATTGGGATTGATTTATATACACTATTAATACGATGTATAAAATAGCCAACTAATGAGAACCTACTGTATAGCACAGGGAGCTCTACTCAATGCTCTGTGGTGATCTAAATGGGAAGGAAATCCAAAAAAGAGGGGTTATATGTATACGTATAGCTGATTCACTTTGCTGTACAGCAGAAACTAACACAACATTGTAAAGCAACTCTACTCCAATAAAAATTAATTAAAAAAAATAATATATGAACAGAGAGGTAGGCAGTTTCTATTCAAATTTAGAAGCAGAAGTTAAGCTCTAAGGATGAGGACCCGCATGTAAAATGCTGTCAATTAATGGAAAAAAACACGACCCCGCAGAACCAATGATACTGTACAGGAACAGGCATGCCTTTTTCAGCACTTCTGCTTTCGGCTTGATAAGAATCACACGTGTTTGGCTTCCCTGGTGGCACAGTGGTTGAGAGTCTGCCTGTCGATGCAGGGGACACGGGTTCATGCCCCGGTTCGGGAGGATCCCACATGCCGCGGAGCCGCTGGGCCCGTGAGCCATGGCCGCTGGGCCTGCGCGTCCGGAGCCTGTGCTCCGCAACGGGAGAGGCCACAGCAGTGAGAGACCCGCGTACCGCAAAAAAAAAAAAAAAAAAAGAATCACACGTGTCACGCGTATTTCTGTGACTCTCAAACTGATCCAGTGCTGGGGACTACGGTTTCCTTCTGTTGGAGTTGATGCACTGAGCTTTGTAGCAGGAGGACACCAGGAGCTAGTGACTCACAGCCACTGAGGAGTGTCAGTGACGCATCTGAGGAGGTTTCCCAAGAAGTGACAGAGAAAAGCTCTTTTGTCCTCCACACCTGGAAAGGCCTCTGAAGACAGGGCTGTTTCTATCTTTCCCTTTGACTGGGTGGTAGATTCGGATCAGCTTTGTAGCCCACACGGGGCCGGGGATGACTTTCTGAAAACAAGTTGCTCACTTCCTACAGGTAGAGAGTGAGCGGCTGGGGTGACGGGGTGGGGCTGAGTAAGGATGAAAAGGAGGGGGATGTGGGAGCCCCCTTCTTCCTTTGAACTTGGCCCCGCTGGGGCTGGGCGGGCGCCACACCTGCGAGCTGGGGCCCAGAACCCTCCACCCTTGCTTCCCAGTAAGAGGAAGGGAGGGGAGGAAACAAGCACTGCCCCAGACCCTCCTATCTGTGGTCATTGAAGGCCAACAGCAAAACTAAGGAGGAGATACCACTGGAGCCCCCATTTCAAAGGAAAGAACAGGCTCACAGAAGTCAAGTAGCTCCCCCAAGGTTGTACAGCTGGTAGAGTTAGGTCCTGTTGTCCAGCCGTATCAGCGTGCATCACAGTGATTTCTGTTGTACAGATTTTTAAAAATCATGATTTATGAACAAATCCCTCACTGATGGATATTTAAACTGATTCCAATTTTTTAAGATTCCAATCACCAGAGCCTCTTTAAAAGAAGTTGTTTCTTTTTTCCAAACCTCTGTTTTTTCCCCAATTATAAAAATAATAGATGATTATTGTAAAAATTCACAGACCACGGAAATGTACCATGCAGAAATGGAAATTCCCCAGAGGAAATGCCATCAACAGTTTGGAGCATATCCTTCCAGACCTTTTTCTATTCATATAGGAACAAATATGTCCAGAGGTCTTGATTAGAGAAGAAAATCAAGCAATAAGATTCAATATTCTATGTTATATATCGTATATTATATTGTATAAGATTTCAATTTTCTGCTTAAAAAGTGCATGCAGGAAAAATCTGGAAGAACAAGAAACTTTCAAATACCAATTTTACACATTTCTGAAATGTTCTGTACTTGGATTTTTAAAATATCTCTTTATAGAAGTATAATGTATATCTGTTTCCATAGCTATATATGAAAGTTGACATCTCATGACTGTACAGCTCTATTGACTTTTCACAAATTGAACACACCCCTATGACCAGCTCCCACATGGAGAAACAGAACATGCCCACCCCAAACCTCCTACTCCCTTCTCATGACCATCCCTGCACCAAGGGTACCCATATCCTGACTTCTAACTTATATATATTTGCCTGTTTTTATCTGTGCTTGAATTTTAACAGTGACCACGTATTACATTTAAAATGAGAATAATCAATACAGATGTTATAATAGATGCAGATGTAGCGGTCATCATTTGATGCCAGCATATAGGCTTCTAGCTCATTCCTTCACAGCTGCGTGGAGTCCCTTGCGTCACAATTGATCTAACTGGCTCCTTTTGAGGGACATTTGGATTGGTTCCAATTTTTGGCTAATAAGCAACACTGCAAGGAACGATTTGACGCATATTTCTTGGCACACATCACTTTGAGATGTGTTTCTTTAAGATACGTGCCGAAGAGTGAAATTGCTAGTCAAAAGAGAGCTAAATTAAGAAAAAATATTTTGATATTTTGCCATAATGGCCCTCCAGAAAGTAGCAAATGCTCAGTTCCTTCTTCAAAACAAAAGTCAGGTGCTGAGTGCAGACCTCCTCACCGCAGCCCCTGCCGCTGGCAGCCAAACCAGTGCCAGCTCCCCGGGCAGACGGAGCCCAGGCTTGCCCCAGCAGGTGCCTGTTGCACAGAAAACAGAAAGGCACCCCCCCATCCTGAACCCCAAACCTCACCCTATGCAAAAGCACAAACAACTAAACACAATCACAAAGACAGCAGCAGGGAGATGCAGCTAAATAGCAGAGCCCGTAGTGGGCTGGGGGGCCTTGAGATCTGTTCTTACTTCCTCTGCGGACAGGGTGTGAGCCTTCAGGGAGGGTAGGCTGCATGTCTGGGCCTTAGTCTATTATTAAACAGGGCGTCTCGGAGCAAAGTGAACCCCGGAAGAGTCTGGCCCAGGCTAACCCGGCCCTTCCCCATGGCCTGTCCGCCTTGGGAGGCAGCCTGGTCTGTTGTCCTTACAGCTGATGGGCAGAAAGAGTCAGTTTCTCTTGAGCACCTCCTGCATCTACGCCCTTCTAACTCCCACCCACCACTGCTATAGTCCTGCTGCACCCCGACTCCACAGGGAGCCTCTCAGATGCTGGGAGACGGTCACATTGGCCCTTCGTCACATTCTGTGGCTGCCACCAGAGGCCTCTGAAGACGGCCTGGTTTGCCATTGCCCTTCTTAAATCCCACCTCCCAGCCCTGGGCTGGCCAGGAAAAGCAGGTGGGACTCTCTCGTCCTTTGACCTGGGCCGTGTGCTTCTGTTAATGCAGCCAAAGTTTGAATTCTTCTTTGGCTCAATAGCTCTTAAGTTGCTCCAGCCCAGGCTGGGGAACTAAGATAAGATCCAGGGGCTTTTACAGCATTTTCTCCTTGCATCTTTCTTCTCCGACTATTGAAGCTGAGAGACAGTAAAATATTAATGGACATGTGACAGAGACCCTTCTCTTTGGTGCAAGGTCGCCGGCCTCGTGGCCAGGAGTCCCTGGGGTTCCATGCTCGGTAGGAGTGAACAGGTGCTAGTGAAGGCAACTTGGGGGTGGGCTGGACGGGGGTGACCCCTGGGGCACCTGCTACCTGGCTCTGGGTGCCTTGGGTGCTTCCAACCTGTCCAGGCTTTCTCTCTGCGCCTACACAGTGGAGTACAGCATGTTTGGGGGCAAATGAAGAGCTTGACACAAAATGAAGACAGAGTCATTTTAACCTTCTCATCTCTGTTTAACTGAGCACCGACATCTTTGCCGCATAGATGAGCTTTTGTGTGTTTACATCACAGGAGCCATGTGCATCATTTCCTCAAGACTTTATTTTTACAACCAAGATATTATCATAACAAGAACAGAGAGTAAGAGAAGAAACATACAAGCCATGGAAGGGCAGAAGTGAAAGCTGAAGGACTTCCTGGTGGGAGATCAAGTGGCCTCTTGTCCCCCAAGCCATAAGTTCCAAGCCCCAAAGGAGGTCCTCAGAATCTGAAGTGACCGTGGGAGCCAGGTCAGTCCCTCTTGGAAGCCTCATTTCCAGTCTGGGTCTGCTCTCTGGGGCCTTCCATGAGGAGGGTCAGCCCCAGCCTGGGAAGACCAAAGGGACCCATCCCAGCACCATCCCATGAGAGACTTGGGTCTCACTGTCACTGCCTTACCTGGACAAAGCAAGGCGGTGGCTGGATGGCCAACACTGAAATTCCCAGCCCAACCCAGGATGAGTACAGGAGCCGGAAGTGGTGCGCTGGGTGCCATTTTGTACTCAGTCCTCCAGTGTGCCTTGCAAGTTGCAGAAAGTGCCCTGGGGTTCTGAAGCCTTCTCTCTAAGATTCCCGATGACCATGTAACAAGTTGCTCCCATGCACGAGGCCCACAGAAAGAACTTGCAGTAGTTAAAAGCAGGCAGCTTCAGCAGGTCAGTGACATTTCCATGGTTGACTGTGTCCTTTCTCTCTCATTTTTCCAGATCTTGCTCATCACCGACCCATGTATTTTTGTAGCAGGACACCAAAAAACGTATCCTCTGCTCACTTATAAAACCTGAAAACGACAGCAAGCTGTGAAACCACTTATTATCGGGCAAATGCTATTGTATTTCCTGTAAGAGAGATAAATGGCACATCAGGATGCAGGGCTCCACTCCAAGAAAGCAGCCCAGGGCCAAGAGTTTTGTGTTGGTCTGTTTTTAGGGCCCATCTCAATCATTAAGAAAAACTGAAATGCTCAAAAAACGCAGCCCTAAGAACTCTAGCTTTGAACAGTGTTACCTCCTGCGGTACCTTCTAAGGTAAACGATTCACCGATGCACACTAGGGGACCAGAGGAACATGGCCTGCCGATAGATGATTTTCTAAGGCCAGTTAGAGGCTGGGGAGTGTCTGCCCCAAACTGCAACTTGAATTAGTAACAGCTGATCTTTGAGGCCCAGGGACTATTTCATCCACACCTGGATCATGATAGCAAAACCAGAGGTGGTTTTCAAACTTCTTTTTAGCCACAAACCCTTTTGTTCAACGACATCTTACAGGTAAGTGTAATTACAGGCAACGGATGAAAGCAGAGCTGTTCGGAATGAAAAGGGTGAGGGGGGGCTAGGGTCCCACCTGGGGCCACCCCCAGCCCCTTCCTCGCCTAAGCTGATCCTCGGGACCCCTGGGGTTTGCCATAGCATGAGGTCCTGCAGCCGACTCCTCCCAAACTGGCATCAAATCACTGGGGAGCAAGTTAAAACGAAGGGGTGAGGGGGACGCACAACACAGGCAGCTCCTTGAGGGGGAGTCGTTCTCCACAACAGGTCACCACAAGGAAGATTCTGAACAGAACATTCTGGAGGTCTAGAGCTCAACAAATACACTTAAGTTACTGTCTCTTAAGTACGGGGTAGTTTCTAAATCCAGCACGTAAAGTGAAAATTGCACACCATCAAAATTACCATCAAAAATTGCCCACGAAATGCAGCAGGCATGTTTAAGCAACGATACAACACAATGTATACAAATATGTACAAACACAATGTGTGTAATAGTGTAGAGCAGACAGTGAAGTGAGCATATATGAAAATTTATCATTTCAGAGTATTTAAAAATACATTTTATGTTGTACACCTGAAACTAACATAATATGGTCTGTCACTTATAATTCAACAAGAAAACATGTTGTTTCTTGGTTGCTGGGCTCATAAAGCTGCCTTTTGTAAGTAACATGAGCTGCTGCCTTGACTCCAAGGATCCAGGGGCTGTGCACTTAGACGGTGCTTTTTCAGTAAGTCCTTACAATAGCCATGTGGTTGGAACTGTTATCCCATTTTACAGATGAGGAATCAGGGGCTCAGAGAGGTGAAGTGACTTGCCTACAGTCCCAAGGCTGGTGAGTAGCAGACAGGACTCAAGCCCAGATCTGCCTCACGATGGAGCTACTCTTCAATCTGGGAGCGGGGGCTTTCTTTCTTTTTTTCAAACACTCTACATAGAGGAGGGTGTAATGAATGAGACAGGTAGATGCGAAACAATCTCTATTTTGAGGCAGAAAAGGCAGTCCAAGGACACTGCCCGTGGCCAAACAGGGAGGGAGCCTCAGGCAGCCTTGGCCTCCGCCTTGGTTTCTGGAGCTTACCCAGCTCAGTGGGGCCTAAGCAGCGAGCCTTGTAGCCCCCGTGTCTATGTGACTCAGCCGGCGGGTTTGCCAACTCCTGGGACCCAGGTGGGGTCAAGTCCAACACACACCACCAGGAGGGAAGGAATTCCACTGGTGGAGATGCTGGCCTTGGGGTGAACCGACTTGTCTTCGAGTTCGAGGCTGCTCTCTACTGTTCCAAATGCTTTGAGCAAGTTTTGATCTGTAAAAATAACCCTCCTGTGTCATGCAGGACCAAGTTGAATGAAATAACGGGTGGCAAAAAGTTTGGGATATCCTGCTGGTTTTACCCATGCAGTAGTTGATTGTTTATTCAGTATCTTATAATAACGTAAAACGGAAAAGGATCTGAAAAAGAATATATATAACTAAGTCACTTTGCTGTACCCCTGACGCTAATTCAATAATAATAATAATAAAAAAAAGAGTTCACTATTATTCTCAGGAGAGCTAAGAGCTCAATCTTACCATACTTGACATATACTTAGACGACTAAATGGTATTCTGTTTGCTTAGGTTCTCTCTTTGCCTGAACTCCATGAGCCCATCTATTTACACAGCGTGTGATTTTTTTTGAAGGTGGTGTCTGTCTGGGGCTCTCGCAGTTGGAGGCTGTGGGCAGCAGCAGGGGCTGAGGAAGCCAGGGCCACACCCAGGGCTGCGGCCCAGGCAATTTTCCAAGGCCCCAACCACTTACTGTTTCAGGAAGCGAAGCCGAGCTCTCCTCTGCAGGCCTGGAAGGAGAAAACAAGACCGCTGGTTGGCATGGGCTGCGAGCCACTGACACCGAGCCCCAGAGAGGGAGGAAGGCGATGAGAGGGGCAGCTGACACCTCGGGCCACTTCCTTGGTGCCAGGCTCTGCTCCAGACACCTCATGGGTTTTAACTCCCTTATTGCCCACAGCAAACCTAAGAGTTGGTACTCTTACTATCTCCGTTTTGCATATGGGGAAGCTGACGTAGAGAGTGAGTATGTTACTGAATGACTTGCCCAAAGTCATGTAGCTAGTAAGTGGCAGTCTGTGTGCCCTTAAATGCGCCACCTTGCCCTTCACAGCAGGTCAGGAAGCAGAAGTTGTACAGACAGGTGGTCTTAAATCAGAGCACGTGTATTCTGGGCAAGTGCAAGATTTCCCCCTGGGACGAAGGAAGGAAAGGTGAGCATGTCTATTTACATGTTTATCTCATCCTTTTTATTTTTGAAGCACATTTAATAACATACATAGACTATTAAATAAACACAGCTAGCATAAATATTAATCATTTAAGAATATAGTTATAATTATATATTAAATATATGCATACATAATATACTAAATAAATAAATACAGCTAATTGAAGTTAGGGTTTATAATTAGAAGATTTTTTTACGGATGAGGTCCTTGGTCAGAAAAGTCTGCAGACCACTGAACTCTAATGGTTCTTCGAATAGAATAAATGGATCCCTTTTTTGGGGGAGGCAATTGTATGCAAAAATATGCACATGGTGCATTTCTCTGCCGAGAGGGTCCATATTGCTATCATACGTTCAAAGGGGTCTGTGGCCTACGAAAGAGCCACTGATCTAGTCCACGTCCTTGTGGGCCACCCCGTCCCATTTTACAGAAGCCCAGAGAGGGCAAGTGGCTTGCACAAGGTGGCACAGGTGAGCAGAAGAGTCAGGGCTAGAGTCTGGGGCTCTGGGCTCTTGGCCAGCTGTGTGGGCCTCCCCTGAAGCTCCCAGGGGGGCCCGTAGAAGGAGGTGATCCCACCTCTGAAGTGACCGGGTGCAGCAGCCATCTCTGAGTTTCCCCACAGCCTCACAGAGGGGAGGATTTCTAGCTTCTGGGAACATAACCCAAACCCTACTGCAATCTCTGTGCACTGCTTACATCCAAACTGCTCATGGGTGTTCCTGATTACTGAGCACATGCCCCGAGCCGGGCACTTGGGCGGGACTTTACAAAAGCAGCCCTGGGAAATAGGTAACATGGTTACCCAGGGTGAGGCAGCTGAAGCTCAGGGAGGCCAGGGCGTATGCCCAAGGTCACTAGATCAGGAATCAGCAGAGTCGGATTCAAATCCAAGTTTGCCTGACTCCAGAGACAGGGTGTTCTCTGATCCCTGAAGCTTGACCTCAGGCCAAGAATCACTTCTTGGAACTATCATGGGTTCAGGGCTGGAGGGGCAAACTTCCAACAGGCTGCCATGTGCCCTGCTTCCCTAGAGAAGGAAGGACCCTCAGGGACACCTTCAACAGCAAAAGGGGTCTCCATGACGGCCCAGGAGGGCACAACTTACAGTGTAGGTGAATGGCCACGCCCAAGGACACCAGCAGAACAAGGACGACAGCCACCAGTGGGCCGACAATGAGGGGGGCACAGGACGGGCCTGGAAAACACACACATATTAAATATTTGAGATGTGCAGATGAATACAAAGAGGGAAAAATCAACCGGAAGCCCCACCTCCCAGAGAATACCGCTGTTGACATAGTTCCTTCCAGTCTTTTTTCTAGGCTCTTGAAACACATTGAGATCATTTCATATATAAAATTTCATGTCCCACGTGCAAATTTTAAAAATTAATAAACTCAGGAGCTATTTATGTTCAAATGAGATAGACAATTTGCATGCCTGGTAATGGGATTTTTCTTATTTATTTTTAAAACTTTTAATTTCAGAAGAAATACCTGAATATATTTTCACTGTAAAAGATTTAAGTATATGGTTAGAATGTCCCTTGGCAACCCAGCTCCTTCACAGAAGTAACTGCCATTGTTAATTTGCATGTACACATACATAATTTACATAGATACATCCCATATAGCTTTTAAAAATACAGAGGCTTATGTAGTACAAATTGTTCTGCAACCAGGTTTTTTTTTTTTTCTTTCTTCACTTAAACATGCCAGCACATTCTTTTTTTTTAACGGACATTTTGTTTGTTTCCTGTGTTTTACAAATACCTCTGCAGAAAACATCCAGATACATTTCTTTCCTTATGCAGGAGCCTGCCGGAGGCAGATACTGTAAACGAGAACTACGAACCATAGGCTATATCCATCTTCAATTATAACAGATACTGTGAAATGCCTTCCAAAAAGGCTGCAGTGAATTCCATTCCTAATCACCAGTTGTGCACCCTGCCGACCCTTGACGTTATCAAAGTTTTTAGTTTTTGCCAGTCCGGTGGGTGAAAGATGATATTTCACTCCAATTCACCACTTGTCCATTTCAGCCTATTTTCATAGATTGGCCACGTATGATTTTTCTTCTATCAGTTGCCTATTTGTTCCTTTGCCCATTTTGTACGCTATGTAAACAGCAGAGTTTATATCATCGATGCCCCAAATCCTTCTCTGGCACCCTTCCTGTCCCTGTGGCTGGTCCCTATGAGTAGCTGAGGGAGCAGAATGAGGACCCATGGGTGAAAAGGGAAAGGCTGCAGACTTGGGCTCAAGGTTAAAAAAATTAGAAAGAGTTTTCGATGTCAGGGGAGGGAGAGAAGGTTTACTGAAGACCTGTTATGTGCCAAGTATAGTACTAACTACAAACTTCCATCTTGTGAGGAAGGAAGGCATTACTGCCATTTTTATCTCTCATCTTACAGTTCAGAAAAACCAAGATTCAAAGAAGTTCAATTACATGCCCTAGGTCACCTGGATACTAAAAGGCAGGGCCAGGATTTGGACCCAGATGCCCCGAGTTCTACAGCCCCTGCCAGTCCCATCGTGACAGCTTAAGGGCAGGAGAGGTGGCAGAAGGGATGGAGTGGGCTGCTCCGTGGGAGGGAGCCTGCCATCACCGAGGCTGCATGGTGCCACGTGGAGAGAAAGGTTGGGTGAGAGGCCCTTGGAAGTCCTTCCCACCTCTGATGTGTGAGGGTTTCTGTCTGCCTCCCTCTCATCTCCCCTATGGTTCTCCTGACCTGCGGGAACCTCAGAAACATGGTGTGAAGTGAAAGAAACCAGGCATGAAAGACCACATATTCTATGACTCCATTTGTATGAAATGTTCAGAAGAGGCAAATCTATAGCAACAGAATGTAGATTAGCAGTTGCCAGGGGCTGGGGTGGGAACAGAGATTAGCTATAAACAGGCACAAGGGATCTGACAGTTTGATGGAAATGTTCTAAAACTAGATCGTGGTGATGGTTGTATAACTCAGTAAATTTACTAAAAATCATTGAGTCATGTGCTTAAAATGGGTGAATTTTATGACATGCAAATTATGCCTGGATAAAGTTTTAAGCAAGGGAGGTGGACACAGGCTGCAGGGATAGGAGAGAGGGGTCAGGGGAGGCCTCCTGAGCTACGACCTGAACTAGAGGCCGAGAGACAGCTACTGGTCCTCAGGTCCTCGGTGAAACGCGATCACCTACCAGGAAAACTGCCGCTTCTAGTAAAGGTGGCGAAAAGCCTGCTTGGACAGGGAGCCAGTGGCCAGAGACACACCAGCGACACTCAGCCCCACCTTCTTTGCCTCGCTCGGGTCTTGGGGTCTCCTGAGATCTGTATCTCACCACACTGTTCCTGTGACAGCAGTTTAGAAATTGTCCCCCAGCACCTCCCCAGCTTGTCTCAAGGGGAGCAGGCCCCTCCCCATGGCGGCCTGTGGGTTTCTTTCATGATAACAAGCTTTGAGCTCTGTCTAGGTGTCCCGCCGAGCTGAGCGCCTTGTGTATAGTATCACATTTTATCCTGCCTTGCCTGCAGCCAGGTGAGCATTCCCACTTGATAGGTGAAAGAAACTGAGGTTCAGAGAGGCTGAATCACTTGCCCAAGGTCACACAGTATAAGCAGCAGTAGACAGGGATTCAGACCCCAACACAACCTCCACCTACTCCCCTTGACGCCCCTCCCCCCAACTTGGCCACCTTCACACACATCCTGGTTATTCTTAATAACCTACTAATGTTGGAATTGCATTTTACCCTGGGATTTTACTGAGGGTTGGTATCAGAAATGATGCAAAAAAATCTGAAGACCATTTTTCCATCATTTATAAAGTGCTACTGAATTCACTATCGTTCAGCGGTCCTTACATAAGAATGAACAGAGCAGATTTTTTTCTAGAATTTAGCACCAGGATGAAGGCTTTGATGCCCGGGTTATTTCTTTATATCATTGTGGTGGGAGGAGGGGTGTTAGTGGTGCCACGTGACCTGGGGTCTGCTCTTTGCTTCACTGGGTTTTTTGGTTCTTCCAGAGCCAGGGCACAGACCCAGGTTTTACATCCTCATTTTACTGCCTCTACTGTCTTGGCCTTTTGTGTCCTTTTTTTGGTTGTACCCTGCCTGAAATCCTTTAGGCAAAGTTGGGGGGCATACTTTATAAAATGAGCTCATTCTGTCTCTGCCTGTATGTTCCCTAAGACTCTGTCCTTCTGTACATGGGTTCTGATTTGCTTTTTACTGTGAACTCATGCGGCAGCTTCCCTCTCCCATGCCCTGGATCCTGTTAGATGCCTCCCCCCAGACTCTTTCTGATACTTTACATAAATATTTAAGCCAAAGCAACACCAGTAGCATGAGGCGGCCCTGGTGTGGTTGCTGGTTTGTCCTATGGGTGGGAGCAGGGGGCACTTTCTTTTTGTCACCAGTAACTTTTGGGGGACAGAGGTCAGTGTTTCTACAGAAACACATTTGGCTGATGGGTTCAAGGCAAGTGTGTGCGTGTGTGTGTGTGTGTGTGTGTGTGTGTGTGTGTGTGTACTCAGCTACGGTGTCTGGTGCTTGTAGCACAGAGCAGTGAGTCGGTTTACTCACTAGTAAACATATATGAAGCACACACTGTGTGCTAGGTCCTCTGTTAGGCATCAAAACTGGGGAAGGTTAAAGTACTGGTCCTTTGTCTTTTTTTATTACTTTTTATTGGAGTCTAGTTGATTTACAATGTTGTGTTAGCTTCTGCTGTACAGTAAAGTGTATCAGTTATAATAGGCATATATCTACTCTTTTTTAGATTCTTTTCCCATATAGGTCGTTACAGAGTATTCAGAAGAGTTCCCTATGTTATACAGTAGGTCCTTATTAGTTATCTATTTTATATATAGTAGTGTGTATATGTCAGTCCCAAAGTGTTGGTCCTTTGGGTTGAGTTTTTTGTTTGTTAACAGCTCTATTAAGATATAATTTATATATTGTAAAGTTCACCTGTTTAAAGTGTATAATCTAATGGTTTTTGTTATATTCACAGAGTTGTGCAACTATCGCCACAATCTAATTTCGAACATTTTAATCTCCGCCAAAAGAAATCCTGTGCCCGTTAGCTGTCTTCCCCCCATTCGTTCGTTCCCCAAACCCCCAGCCTTAGGCAACCACTAATCTACTTTCTGTCTTCAAGGAATGTCATATTCTGGACATTTCATATCAAGGGGATCATATAATATATGGTTTTTTGTGACTGGCTTCTTCTGCTGCAAAATATTTTCAAGATTCATCCACGTGGTAGCATATCAGTGCTTCAGTGTGGATTATGGTTAAATAATATTCCATAGTATAGAGAGCCCGTATTTTGTTAATCCATTCATCAGGTGGTAGACATTTGAGCGGTTTCTACTTTTTAATCCTGCTAGGAACATTCGTATGCAAGTTTTGGGTGGATGTATCCTTCATTAAGTTTTCTCCTGTGATGATTTGGGAGTGTGTCTCCCACTAGAGTGTGAGCTGCTGGAGGATAGCACTGCTGTCACACTCAGCTCCCTTTCAGACCCCAGCTCAGGGCTAGAGAAAGAGGCTGGAGTCCACACTTGGGAAGGGCTTGCAGAAGGAAGGAAGGAATGATGGGAGGGAGGGACAGAGGGAGGGAGAGTGCCTGCTGTCCTTCTGAGAATCCAGGGGTACGGGAGAACTCACCCTTCCGGGTCACCAGGTTTGGGAATCGTAACACTTTCTTCTTGCGAGTGGTCTTCTTGGTGGGCTGCGGAGTGGTGGGAAGGACATCAACTACAAAAGCAAGACACATGTTTTAGCCAGGTAAACAGCAGGTGGATTCAGAGATAAAACTTACAACCGCACATCTTATATCCAGGTACTAAAGTCCTTCTCAGTGTTCCCTAGGCTGCTATGGGGCTTGAAGGTCACAAATCACTGGGATTTTTGATTTAATTCTCCGACTCTCAGACGAATCTGAAGGCCTAGGGATGGGGGTCTGTTTGGTGTCCTGGAGAGAGGGGCTCTGGAGCCACCCAGATGTGAAAATAGCCCCAGAACCCCTGATTAACCACTGCGTGACTTGGGGCAAGTCCTATCACTTTTCTGTGCCTCAGTTTCGCCCATGTTAATCCAGTGTCACGTGCTGAAGTGTTGGGACAGGGCAGAGGGACAAGCCCACAGGGCAAAGGGAGACACTTGAGGCTCGGAGATGCTAAGGGAGGGGGGACACCAGGCGCCGCTGAATCCAACCCCTGCCTCTGAGGGTTGGGGAAAGACATTTCACTGAAATGATTTTCTGCAAAATGGTAGGAGAGGGAATCGGGTGACACCATGAACTTGAACTCTAGAGTCAAGGGCAAAGGGAGGGGCAGCCAATGTTTGGTCGTTTGGGCCCGGTAGCTTCCATATAAAATGTGGACACTTCAGACGCTCACTGCCCTGAGCCATGAGCAGTAGAGAAAACGTGCCCCACTCTGCCTGCTCCAGGAGGTTTCTAGAAGAGCCAACTAACCAAAATTAACCCTTACCAAGCCCCCACCTCGGGCTACTGCCCATGCCAAGAGCGTCAGCTTAAGCTTATTGAACCCAACAACTCTGGGGACTGGCACTGTTTTCCAGATCTGATCTCCGAAGAAGCCTAGGCTCAAAAGGTTGAAATAAGTCACTTGCTCAGAGTTCGAGCCACGAAACGCCAGGGCCGGCATCTGAGCCAAAAGATGCGTGTCCTAGGCTCTCACCCCGCACACTGCCTCAAGAGCAAATGCGTTTTGACAAAAAGTTAAGCACCTCAGGTCATCAGAGTGCTGAGGGAAACTCTTGGAAAAGGGGAAAACAGCCTCAGTCTCTTGCTCTGAAAGCCTGGGAGGTGCTCGGCCCTCTGCTGCGGTGTTTTGACCTTCCATTACTCCCTTTAGTCCTCACTGCCTTGGAAGTGCTCATTCCCCTAATTCCTACACGTGGAGGCACAGGGGCTCCCAGCGGGGCAGTGGTGAGCCTGCAAGGGGGCAGCTCTACAGGACTTCGTGCCCTGCCTGGGCACAGTGGCCTGGGGACGGATGGGGGGGTTTGTGGGGGAGACTTGTTCTATTTCAATGTCTTCTTGCCCAGAGGCAGGTCCCCTTGATTCTTCCTGATACCACTCTGCCACACCCAGTTCTCCCCACTTCTCTCCTCTTGGAAAGGGGTGGGAGTTTTGAGCCCATGGTGTCTTGAGGGGCCTGAAAAAGGCCCATCTTCCCCCAAATACTTTCTCTACCATCCAGGCTTCCTCCTTTAAAATGTACTGACCTTCTGGCAGGAGGGCAGGCTCTGACTCTGAATACCCGTAACCTGAGGAGATGATACGGTTGCCAGCACATGTTTTGGGGAGGGACTGCCATTCCTGGGGAGCCAGGCAGTGAGAGGGGTTTGGGAAGATCAAAGCCAGGAGTGAGCGGGTGGTGGTACACATGGCGGGAATCTTCTGAAAACCAGTTTTGCTTATTTCACCATCCACCTTTCCTAGACTCTGAAATCTCATGAGTGGGCAGTGTGAGGCTTATAGAGACAAAACAATAAATCAAACCAAAACCCCCAACTCACAAAAGCCCAATTTTCAATGCAAGAATGAGTTGACACCCATCCCTCCAGGGATGCCTCGGCTTCTCGTCGGGAGAGCTCTCCCTACCTTCCCCACCTCCTGATTTAAGACCCGAGGTTGGTGACATGGGACGAGGGCATCACTCTGGTTTGTGTCTTCCTGATCATGTCGCTATGCCTGCACCTCCCATGATGAGTGGTCTAATTCCTGGGGGTCCCCTTGTCACTCTCAATGCCCCCAGCCTGAAAAGATCCCAGGTGAGTGGGAAGCAAGACAGTGGGAGGCCCACTGGGCGTTGGCCTTGGCCATGGGCTAACCTGGGGAGGGGGCCTTTGAGGATTCCTTCACACCCTTGACAATTTAACCCTCACCATCCAATATGGCAGCCACCTGCCATGTGTGCTACAGAGCATTTGAAACGCGGCCAGTCTGATCCGAGATGTGCTGTACACATTAATATCGAGCACTTAGTATGAAAAGCGAATATAAAATATTTCAGTAATAATTTGTATACTGATTGCACATTGAAATAATAATATCACTGATACACTGGGTTAAATAAAATCTATTATTTAATTTTACTTGTTTCTTTTGATTTTTTTGAACGTGGCTATTAGAAAATCTTAAAACATATTTCTACTGGACATGATGACTTAACTCCTGAGGAACTGCAGTTTCTAAGGGCTGGAGGGAGTCATGGAGGCCCTTAGCAGCCCCACAATACAGATGGGAAAACTGAGGCCCAGGGAGGGGAGCGACCTGCCCACAGGCCCTGGGTAAATTTGCAGCAGAATTTGCAGCTGGGTCTGGGATCCAGCCTCCTCACTCCTTGCAACTGGGTGTGGGTTCAAGCTATGGGTCCCCATGCTCGTTCTTTCCCTGTGTGCACACAGGGAGGGGATTTCTGAGACCACTAGCAGGTCTGGGGACTCGGCCCAATCCAGCCACAGCCTCAGGTGAACGTAGAATGGCTGAAGGACAGTGTGCCCTGTCTCCAGAAGAAGCATCGATGCTCCTAAGCATCCCATCTACAATGGGATCAAACAGCACCTGCCTCCCAGGGTGCTTGACAGCATTACGTGAAATAACTACGTACAACACTTGTATCTGGTGGCCCTGGGTTACTTTTTGTTTCTATTAGCGGTAGTGCAGTTGCTTCTGGAGGTCCTTCCCTCCTGCAGGGCGGGGCTCACTGAGAGTGGGATGTCCCAGGACCTGGCTCGCACCCGGCACCCAGTAGGTGCTCAGTGCTCACCTACGTCACTGAGCCAGATTCTTACCCACAGTCAGCTGAGTCCCCTTCCCGAAGGTCAGGTCGGGGTTCCCAACCGTCATGCAGAAGTAGGCGCCGCTGTCGGAAGGCTTCACACTTTGGAGGCCGAGAGTGTACCGGAAAGAATCTCGAAGCACAGTTAGCCTCTCCTGCTCTACCTCCTTGCCGTACACAGTCCCTTTGGTGAGATCCCAGAAGGCCAGGAACTCGTAGTGACTGTTAGCGCTCGGGGCCAGGCACTGCCTCAGCCAGTAGATGCGAGAGTTAGTGGGGGAGGTTTTGGCTTCACAGGACAGCATCACCGTCTGATTGGTCTGAGCCGTCACGGACGCAGGGGTCTGCAGGAGTGCTGAGCTGCCACGCAGAACTATGAGAAGCAGAAAGAGCAGAGCCCATCAGCACCTTTTCTTGGCCAGGCTCGTGGGGCCTCAGAGTCGCCCGTAGTCAACTATGAGAGAAGTTATGAGAGAGCCTGCCCAGTTGCAGGGCCTGGGGAAATGCTGTGTGAAATGCAGCCGGGGGCCCCAGGACTCAGAGCTCGAGCGCCCCATCCCCCACGCGATCATCCACCAGGCAGGTGTTCATGATGCCACAGCCTGACAATGGCGACAGGGGAGAGAGCGCCACTTGTTGACTGCATGCTTATGCCTGGCTCCTTGCATAAACTACCTCAATCATGCCTCAGACTTACTTTGGGATTTTTATTCCCATTTCACAGATGAGGAACTGAGGCATGATATGACTTATTCAAAGTCCTGCTTACAGCTAGTAAGTGCCCGGGGGTCAAACTCAAGGATTCAGTCTGAAGTCAAAGCTGGTTGCCTTTCGCCTTGTCCTGCTGCTGCTCTATGTAGACCTTCAAAAGGCTCCAAGCAGCTGAAGGAGACCCAGGGCAAGCTCAGAGAGGAGCTCAGAATCACCGGCAGAGCACACGGCCGGTCTGGCCAACCTAAGAGAGGACCAGCCACCGTTTCTGGACAGTGACAACCAGCAAGAGGAACTCACTCTCCCCTGGTAGGCACAATTCTAGCCCATTATTCCCCAAGCCCGTAATCAATTGGTCTCTGGATCCCCATTCCTGAGTGGAAGGACAGACACCCCAGACGTGGCGCTGGGAGTTCATTTCAGTCTCAGATGGGAAGCCCCTGCTTCCCATTAGGGAACAATCCCATTAGGTAGGGGATTGTTCAGGAAAACTAGAGCAGAACGCACAGACCTGGCCTTGAACCCCGTCTGTGCCCCATGCCGTTGTGGGACCTCAGGCGAGTCGTGGAGCCTGTCTCCTCCTATAAAAGGAGGGCGGCTTGCTGCTGCTGTCCTGCCTGCTTCTGAGGCTTAGAATGTCCAAAAAAGCACTGTCAAGGGGAAAGTGCTATATGTGGGTAAACCACTCACATCTCAGGGGTTGTTACTGGTAGGAAATGAAATCGTAAGGAGAGGATCAGAATGGGTCCTTCGTGGCCAAGTCCAACAGACCGAATCTGACCTGGCAAAGCTTTCATTTTCGCTGCGGGGCAGAGGAGACTGCAGACCAGGGCAGAGACCCAGGAGCATCAAGGTCCGGAGAGGACACAGACCTCGATGGGCAGAGGAGGCCACAGCGTGGGTGTGTGTGTGGGTGTTAGAGGGGGCCACAGTGTGTGTGTGTGTGTGTGTGTGTGTGTGTGTGTGTGTGTGTGTATACCCAAGGCTTTGTGAGGTCGTGGCCCTCATTCATAATCCTGCCTGTACTTGGAGCTCAGGCTCCCTGGCCCCAGAGTGACCTTCTCTGACACTGAAGAAATGAACTTAAACTTTTGGACTCCCCTCACACTCAGATGGCTCTGAGCTTCTGGTCACACTGAGAATGAAAGGGTACCTGGGGCCCAAGTCACTGCTGGGCCTTCTCTCTTCTCCCCAAAAGCCATACTGTCTTTTTAGCAGAGTAGAGATTCTTCATTGTGTGGGGTCATTGACCTCCTGGGGGAGATAGTAAAAATCGACAGGGAATTCCCTGGCGGTCCAGTGGGTAGTACTCCTCTCTACCACTGCTGGGGGCACAGGTTCGATCCCTGATCAGGGAAGTATGATCTTGCATGCTGCGCGGCTTGGTCAAAAAAAAAAAAAAAAAAAAAAAAAGAATCACTGTACTGAACATGGTACATGCATTATCTTGTTTAATCCTCACCAAATCTTTTGGGAGGAAACATATCATTTTACACATGAGGAAACAGAGGCTCAGGAAGGTTAACACAGCTGCTTAACCTTATAACAGAGGCTGCTTAAGGTCACACAGCCTCTTTGTGGTGGATCCAGATTCAAACTCAGGTCTGGGACCCCAGACGCTGAGCTTTGAGCTACTCCTTGAATTGAGGAAACCCGGATCCACAGCATGGGCTCATGTGCATGTAGTGGGGCTGCAAATAAGATTCCAGAGGCTCTACCAAGAAAGCCCAGAGTGGAGAGGGGTCGGAGGGGCCCTGGGCTCTTTGTGTACGATCCTCGTCTGCGTTCTGACTTGAAGACCTCCTGGTTGAGACACACCCTGGTCTCTCTCATGCCCACTTGCTTTTCAGCCCCTGGAGGCTGAACCCCTGGCTGTGGCTGAGTCCAGTCTGTGCTCCGGACCCAGAGCCAAGCCTTACCACACTCATGGTCTCATTTGATTTATTTGATGGTCTCAGTCCCCCGGTGACTCCACTCTCAGAGGGACCTGCTGTTTCTAAAGTGACCCACAGTAACACTAGTAGCTTTGAATGGCCTAGATTAGCTCTACTTGAGATGTCGTTGAGTTCATTAGGTCAGAGACCAGGCAGGCAGGCCTTGTCACCCTGGCAGGAGGGTCAGCTTTGGACGTCTTGAACAAGAGAGCAAATCAACCACAGGTTAGTGGGCAGTTTGGGGTGTGGAGGGGTTTCTTCTAAAAAACGGACCTGACTGGGCTTCCCCGGTGGCGCAGTGGTTGAGAGTCCGCCTGCCGATGCAGGGGACAAGGGTTCATGCCCCGGTCCGGGAAGATCCCACATGCCGCGGAGTGGCTGGGCCCATGAGCCATGGCCGCTGAGCCTGCGCGTCCGGAGCCTGTGCTCCGCAACGGGAGAGGCCACAACGGTGAGAGGCCCGTGTACGGCAAAAAAACAAAAACAAAAACAGACTGACTGGGCTTGGCCAGAGGGACAGACTCTCCGCTATATTCTAACCACAACATTCGAACTCCATTGCTGCTTGTTCGGGGAGCCACACTGCCTACGACACCCGCCCCCTGGGAGTATTTGGGAAACTGGGGACCCTGAGGGGGTGCCCTGACACACCTGCCTGAGAACTGGCAACAGCCTGGTATTTGGTGGACTGTGCTACAGATGCTTTCCCGGAAGAAATAAAAATATGTCTACAGAGCCCTGGGCCAAGCGCGGTGCACCAAAGCCAGAACTAGGCCCCTGGCCCCTTCCTGGGGGCCCATCTCTGCCAGACCTGGACAAGGGCATTTCCCCTTCCTCTCTGGACCTCCTTTCTCTCTTTTCTTCCTTCCCATCTCCTTCAACCCTCCCTCCTCCTTCCTCTCTCTCTCCTCTCTTCCTGTCTGCCCTTCTAGGTTCAGGCTTTGGGGCAGAGGTGGCCTCAGTCCTGAGGCTCCCGGGAGCCCTGCGGTAATGAGCTCCCTGGGAGGTTTTCCACCCCCAGGGACTGTGCCTGCCGGCCGCATCCCGGGCGCCACCGCAGCTCCGGGCTCTGGGCTGGGCATCCTAGGGGGACAGTTTTCCCAAACTCCACGGCTCAGGATCTTGCCGGGTCCAGCGAAGCCCACCCGCTCCGGCCCCGCGCGCCCCAGGGTCTCCCCGCCTTACCTGCCAGCTGCGCGGAGACAAGAAGCCAAAGCCGCAGCTGCATCTTGGCGCGCCCGGGACATCTGGTCCTGGCGGGGCTCGGCTAAGATGGTCTGGGCTGGGACCTGGCGGGGCAGCTGGGGGAGGGCGGAGCGGGTAGCAGGGAGGGAGGGGCCTGGCGGGGGAGAGGGGCGGGAGTCTGGTGAGAGGATAGCAAGGTCTCTGCCCTCATCCTCCCCGCATTTCAAAGGTCTTGGCTGCGTCTCCAAGCAATCGCACGTGTGTGATCGCCTCCTGCCCTGGGAGGTCAGAACAGGATCTTCACTCCATGTGACTCCAGATGAGGCAACTGAGGCTCAGAGAACTCAGGATGCTCAGGAGGGTCCGACGGGAGTGGTGGCGGAGCAGGACCCTAACTCCGGTCACTTCCTTCCTTTCTGAGTGGTTATTGACAGCCTCCTGTGTACTCCAGGGCCAGCTGGGCTTGAAGTCACCAAGACCCAGGCCCTTCCCTCAAGGGCACACACTTGTGAGGGTGAAGGAAAGTTAACTGACAGTGACACATAGTCTGATGCTGAGGACGGTGAGCTGGGGTGCCAGCCTGGACCGGGGGCAAAGCCGGAACTTGACCTTCAGAGTCTGGAAGAGCTGAGAAGATTAGGGTGCTCTCTCTACCCCCCCACCCCCCAATGTGTAATCTGCCCACTTTGAAGTGGTGTGTGTGTGTGTGTGTGTGTGTGAGTGTGTGTGTGTCCCCTCACCCTGCTCTCCCCTCCTGCTGTGCAGTGCCCTGCAGCTCTGTCTGCCAGTGGTGCAGTCAAGCTCTGGGCAGGGAGACTTGTCAGGGTGATCTTGATGTTCAAGTGCAGGTTAGCAGAGGAAGCGGGGAGTGGGAAGGTGGGAGAGGGCTCCAAGGAAGAGAGCTGGGTATGTGAGGGCCTGCGGGGCAGAGGGAACCTGGGGAGGGCGGTGGGAGAAAGTCACAATATCAACAAGGGCCTAGACCCGCAGGCAGGCCGTGTGTGTCACCCTAAAAGCCTGGAGTTTACCAAAGAGGGGATGGAGTGTCCTTGGAGGTCTAAAGCAGGCCATGGGGCAGGGACACTTTCAGCATCCAAAGCCAATCTCCTTTTCAACCTATTCCTGCCTCAGCTCCCTTACCCATCGCTGGGGACTGGCACTGCTGAGCTGGGTTCAGAGAGTTCAAGGGGCTGCTCCTACAGCCCAGCCAGAGGCCAGAGTCTCCCTCCATATTTCCTAACCAGGAGCAACCGTTGAGCCCTGAGTGTACACAGGGCAGACCTGGGGAGACCACACATTAGTGTGAGCTTTTTTTTTTTTTGAAGTGAAATTCACAAAACACAAAATTACCATTTAAAAATGGATATAATCCAGTGGTATTTAGTACATTCATGATATTGTGTAGCCACCGCCTCTATTTAATTCCAAATCATTTTCATCTCCCCAAAGGAAAGCTCTGTACCAATTAAGCAGTCTCTCCTTATTGCTCCCTTCCCCCCGCAAATCCTGTTAACCACTGATCTTCATTTTCTCTCTATTGATTTACATATTCCGAATATTTCGCATAAACAGAATCGTACAATACGTGGATTTTTGTGTTTGGCTTCTTTCACTTGCAGTAATGATTTTGAGGTTCATCCATTTTGTAGCATGTATCAGTACTCCATTCCTTTTTCATGGCTGAGTAATATTCTGTTGTACATATATACAACATTTTGTTTATCCCCTCATCTATTAATGGACATTTGGGTTGTTTCTACTTATTTGACTATTGTCAATAATGCTGCTATAAACTTTCTTGTGTAAGTATGTATTGAGTACTTGTTTTCAGCTCTTTTGGGTCTATACCTAGGAGTATAATTGCTAGATTATATGGTAATTCTGTGTTTAACTTTTTGAGGAACTGCCAAACTGTTTTTATAGCAGCTGTGCCATTTTACATTTCCACCAACAATGTATGAGGGTCCCAGTTTCCCCACATCCTCACCGACACCTGTTACTTTCTGCTCTTTTTTATTTATTTATTTTTAATATATCCATCTCATTGGCTGTGAGGTAGTATCTTACTGTGGTTTATTTTTTTTTATTTTATTTTTTTTTTGCGGTTCACGGTCCTCTCACTGTTGCGGCCTCTCCCGTTGCGGAGCACAGGCTCCGGATGCTCAGGCTCAGCGGCCATGGCTCACAGGCCCAGCCGCTCCGCGGCATGTGGGATCTTCCCGGACCTGGGCACGAACCTGTGTCCCCTGCATCGGCAGGCGGACTCTCAACCACTGCGCCACCAGGGAAGCCCCCTTATTGTGGTTTTGATTTGCATTTTCTTAATGGCTAATGATGTTAAACATCTTTTCATATGCTTCTTGGCTATTTGTATTTCTTATTTGTGTGTCTATTCAAATCCTTTGCAAATTAAAAAGATTAGGTTGTCTTTTTGTTGTTGAATTATAAGAACTCTTTATATATTCTGGGTACCAGACCCTTCTCTGATATATGATTTGCAACTATTTTCTCCCATAAAGCTGCTTGTCTTTTCACTTTGTTAATAATGTCCTTTAATGCACATAACTTTCTAGTTTTGATGAAGTCCAATATTTCTATTTTTCTCTTGTTGCTCATGCTTTTGGTGTCATATTTCAAAATCAATTGCTACATCCAAGGTCATGAAGGTCTACCCTGATGTTTTCTTCTAAGAGTTTTATGGTTTTAGCTCTTATAATTCAGTTATTGATCCACTTTGAGTTTACTTTTATACATGGTGTGAGGTAGGGGGTCCAACTTCATTCTTTTGCATGTGGATATCAAGTTGTTCTGGCATCATTTGTTGAAGAGACTATTCTACCCCCAATGAATAGTCTTAGTATGCTTGTTGAAAGTCAGGACTACAGAGGTATGGGCTTATTTCTAGACTCTCAATTCTATTTCACTGATGTATATGTCTATCCTTATGCCAGCAACACATCATTTTGATTACTGTAGTGTCATAGTCAAGATCATGTCAACTTGACTAGACCACGGATGCCCAGATATCTGTTTAAAAATCACTTCTGGGTGTGTCTGTGAGATTGTTTCTAGAAGAGAGTAGCATTTGAATTTGTGGACTGCATGAAGCAGATGGTCCAACCTAGTGTGGGTGAGTAACATCCACTGTGTTGAGGGCCTGAATAGAACAAAAAGGTGAAGGAAAGTTGGATTTGCCCTCCTTCTGCCTGTCTGCCTGAGATGGGACATTGATCTTCTCTTGCCCTTAGCACTCCTGGTTCTCAGGTCTTTGAACTAGAACTGGAATCTACACCTTTGGCTCTCAGGCCTTGGAACAACAAACCCCAGGCGTTTGTGGGTCTCCAGCTTACAGACAGAAGTTCATGGGACTTCTCAGCCATCATGCTTGAGACAGCCAATACCTTTAATAAATCATATATATCTATATATATCTATATGTATATCTATACATCTTATTGGTTCTCTTTCTCTGAAGAGCCCTGATTAATACATGTAATTTTGTAGTAAGTTTTAAAATGGAGAAGTGTGAGTTGTCTAACTCTGTTCTTTTAAAATATTGTTTTAACTAGCTGGGGCCCCTTATATTTCCATGTGAATTTAAGAGTCAGCTTTTCCATTTCTGCAAAAAAAAGCTGTTGAAACTTTAATAGGAATTGCCTTGAATTTGTAGATTGCTTTGGGTAGTATTGCCATCTTAACAATATTATGTTTTCCAACCCATGAACATAGAATTTCTTTCCATTTATTTAGGTCTTCTCTAATTTCCTTCAGCAATTTTTTTTTTTTCTTTTCTTGGTTTCAGTGTACAGGTCTTTCACCTTTTTGGTTAAACTTATTCCTTGGTATTTTATTCTTTTGGATGCTATTGTGAATTGAATTGTTTTCTCAATTTCCTTTTTAGTTTGCTCACTGCTGGTGTATAGAAACACAGCTGATTTTTGTGTATTGATCTTGTACCGTGCAACTGTGCTTAATGTTTATTAGCTCTAGTAGTTTTCCTGTGTGTGTGGATTCTTTGAGATTTTCTTCATATAGGATGATGCCATCTCAGAATAGAGATAGTTTTATTTCTTCCTTTCCAATTTGGATGCCTTTATTTCTTTTTCTTATCTAATTGCTTTGGTAAAACTACCAGTATAATGTGGAATAGCAATGGTGAAAGCAAATAACTTTGTTTCATTTTTGATCTTAGGGGAAAAGCTTTCAGTGTTTCACCATTGAGTGTAATGTTGGCTATGCTTTTGCTGTACACATAAGTGTATGCTATCGTGTTGAAGAATTTCCCATCTATTGCTAATTTTCTGAGTGTTTTTTATGATGAAAGCTTATTGGATTTTGTCAAATGCTTTTTGTGCTTCAAGTGAGATGATTCTGTGGGTTTTTTCCCCCTTTGTTCTGTTAATGTGGTGTATTACATTGATTAATTTTCTTATGTTGAATGGTCCCTGCATTCCTAGAACAAATCCCACTTGGTCACAGTGTGTAATCTTTTTAATATGCAGTTGGGTTGGTTTGCTAGTGTTTTGTTGAGGATTTTTGTATCTATATTCTTAAGGGATATTGGTCGCTAGTGTGACCTTTGTACAAGATCGACCACTGAGCTGCTTTGGCCTGTGAATGCTTTTAGAGCTGTAGCCATTCCTGTGCTGTAGTCAATGCAGCAGAGGCATTAATGACTGTAGATCATCTAAGCTGAACCACGTTTCCAGTTTTACTCTCCAGCTTCTGCAGGCTGTGCTGATCTAGAAAAGCTTTCTTGCCCTCATGCCATTCATTCAACAAACACGTAGAGGGAGCCATCTAACCCTGTACTCAGCCCAGCGAAATCAAGGTGTATGACAGCCAGTTCCTGCCCTTCAGGAGCTGCATCTCCTGCCTGACACAGATGTGTTGCCAGACAATTACAATTGCAGTCAGTTCAAGCTCCACGTCACCCATGAACTCCCATGCTAAAACTTATGGTCCTGATACTTACCTGCCCTGAGTCCTCTGTCCCTGATCCTTCTGTACCCATCATTCTCAGGGAAGCTTGCAGGGAAGGGA